AGGTGGGAGCAGCCGGGAGTTCACGCGCATGCGCTCATGCCTCTCGCTCTACGCCGCGTGCTGTTTGGCTCACTTGGAAGGAGAGCGTTAAAGCGGCGAGATCATAGACTGACCAAACTCTCCCCATATACGGCTCTGCGTGTAATGAGCACGGCTCGCATAATGAGCACGGCTCACGATGAGAGCCACGCGAAGCCGCCGCCGCGCGTTCCGCCGCCACCGCGCGCGCCTCGCCGGTCTGCGCATTCGAGAGGAGTGACGTCATAGCCGCTGCAGACGCACTGGCGCCGCCGCGTGCCTAGCAGTCCGCCTTCGTTGCGCAGTAGCCGTGTCTGACGCTGCACCGGAGCCGCTTGATAGCGCCTCTCATTTTGTGCGCATAAGCTCACGCTACGTATATCCTGGCATAGCCGAGCTAAGCCACAGCAATTTTTTCCTATTTTATTCCAGCATAGATTTACTTCTTTGGCTTAAAAAAGAAAAGCGCTGTCAATGCTATGTACCAGTACGTACATTTGAACTCGCAAATACCGCAAAACACTTCGCTCTTTCTAGTGAAATGCAGTTCCCGGATCACCGCATGGATGGCACCAGCGGTTCTGTGTGTTGTGTTCTCTCTTCCTAAGAGATTTTAAGAGGTTTTAAGTAAGGCAATCATAAGAAGTCTCAAGTGTGTCAGCGGGTCCTTACAAATCGTTCTCACGACCAACTCAGTCCAATAAGGGTCGAGTCACGAAATAGCTCGAGGAGGCCACTCGGATCGCCAGCAGACTTCTTCGGGGTGGTCACTATAACTATGGTGACTAAAGCGCGTCTCGGGCTGGTGTGTAAAGTGTCCTGTCCCGTCCACACATCAAACATGGTAACGAAGTAGCAAAAAATGACGTCACAGAAGCCGGAGTGTCATGCTGTCGGATGTCGCGATCCTGGTGGTTGGTCGTATAAATGCTGCAAAAAAAGCACGAGCCAGCGCGAGTGTCGCTGTGTCGCGGCGTCCCAACTTCTGGCTGCCAAAGCTTCCACGGACTGTCACATTGAAGTGCCACTTGCAGCATAAGAGGCGTCTGCCACATACACCGCAGCTGTTGGGACGCCGCCAGGATCGCGACTGGCGACAGCGTGAAACTTCTGTGACGTCACGGGGTGGTAATCGAGGGACCAGTTTTTTGGACGCTCTAAACCCACCGGTGGGAGGAACGTTCTGTACTGTTACCCTAAAGCTGCAGTCACACTGCTCCTACATCATACAGTCTGCGTAGAGTATCTGAGGTCTTTCCTATATGACGGCCATTTTGGTCATGCAAAGACTGTCTGCATTTGAAGCGTGCATGCGGCGCTTCGAGTATGCTTGAAGCGCATCCCGCGGATGCTTCTGTCATTGCGTGTATGCAGCCAACATTTTGTATGATGTGTGGGCAGTGTGACACAAGGATGTACTAAAAGCACCTTTAAGTCACGCTTCACAAATCATACAAAAAGTTCACTGCACACGTATCTGCGAGAGACGCTTCAAACGTGTTCCAAGCGCTGCCTGTACGCTTCGAATGCAGAGTTTTTGTACGACCAATACTACCGCCGTATAAGGAACACGCACCAAACAGTCTCCGCAGATTCTTTTGGCATTATGTATTTGAAGGCTGGCCGAATCACTTTCAATTCGTAATTAAATTACCTTACAATTTTTTATTTTGACTGAAGTGGCGAAAATATTTCCACGTCATCACGACGGAAAACGAATAAATTACAATTACAAGTTACTTCAAAAAGTAATAAAATTACCTTTAATTTCCTTTTTTTATTTTGCTATGCAACGATAAACAATATGTTATTTCTAACAATTTTTTTATTCATAGTATACACCTATAACTACGGGCAACCGGTATAGAAAAAAGTTTACCTGCTTTGTTTCCCTTCCGATATAGAGTAACAAAAGAAAAATAATGAAATTACTATCATCTCTTTTATCCTTCGCTCGGGACTAAAAATATAAAGATCCTTCGAGCAAACACCTGGCAGTAGCTTCACACTTGTGAATCTCTTCTTTATTTTTTTTTTAACTCATCCTGTGCTTAATTAAAGTTCTCTTGAACGGTACAGTCTGTTAATGCAGGCGTACAGCCCGCTCCAAGACTTGTTCCCAGCTCTGCTAAGGCCTCTTCGATTTTAAAAGACCCTAACACAATCAGAGATGCCTTGCAGCTTGATTGCTTCAATCTTTGCAACCGGAATTCCTTGCAATTTCGTAACTTAATGTTCACAGCGGGGCAGTCAGCTGTTTCCCCTACACGACGTCTTTTCCAGAAACCCTGGCACCGTCAAAACGTATGGGCTTAGGATAAGTTGAATCTGAAGGAGGCTGCCCTTATCTTTGGCCTCTACACGACAGAAAACTAGCCAAGCTCTTACCACGAGTCCTTTTGCCAGAATAATTCAAGCAGCAAAAAAAAAAAAAAAGCAAGATTCAGTGTTTTTTTTTGTTTTTTTTTTGCATCAATTTCCAGTTCGTTTTTCTTGATGTCTTTTGTTTTAGAAGGGAATTATTATTGTGTTGCTGAGTGCTCGCGCTCGAGCTATTGAACAGTTTCACACAAGAGGTCTGTCATCTTCATGATGTGTTCATTCATAAACCGCCTAATGCATTTCATTACTTTTTTTTTACTTTTTTACTTTTTGCTTGGAACTGTATCTTCAAACGGGCCCTTCAGTTTTGCAGGCGCACAAGACACGCTCGAAGCAAAAAAAAAAGGTAGTTAAAATTAAATTAGAATCACCACCCCACAGTAATTCATAAAATTATTTAATTACAACCACTAAATGATAAATTACATTAATAATTACTGTCAAAAGTAGTTAAATTACTGTAATTACATAAGAATAATACATTACTGCCATTTCTTATGTATTAGCCGTGTGTCCGAGGCTGTAAGGTGTTAAGCTTGGATGCACCTAGTGGGTGCAGTCAGGAATGCATTTATTAATCCGAGAGTCAATCAGGTGATTCACTGTTTGTTTACTAAGTGTATTCCGCATGAACTTCGATATCTCACGAGGTTCGAACGGGAACGTAATTTTGTAAGCCCCAATCCTGGTCATAAAATGGCGGACGCTCAGGATACGGAACACCGCAGTTGCTCACGCCGATGACTCTGTACGCACGTCAAGGCTTTTCTCTCCTCTGGTTACGGGTAAAGTGTACGCCTCGCCACTACATAATGTTGACCTTCCCTATCTATTTTCTAGTTATTTTCTAGTTATGGAACAAAAGAGTGTCGTGGTCTCAAAATGCTGTCTTCCAGTGATCGTGTTGTCCTTTGGACAACAATCCTTAAACATTTGGTCGAGCGTTTGTTGAAATTCGAGACGTACGTATCATGTTTCCCGAAGCGCTCACTATCCCAAAACATGGCATTCACAGGTTTTAACGCTGTTGGGAAATATAAATGACCTCTATCTGTAAACTGAAAAAGTGAAAGGGGCGGGGGGGGGGGGGGGGGGGGAGTACGAAAGTAACTTGCTCCAAAACCCTGTTCAACGCTGAAGAATACAAAATGTTGTAGAACATACGGAATGAGAACGGGATAGAACTTGTCCTTAAACGTTGGGGCTGCCAGTCGGACCCACGTCCAAAGTCCGCGTATGGCTTTCGCATGCGGATGTCGAAAGCAACATTAGTCGCCGCGTTGAGTAGGTACATGCAAGTCATGTACCTATCCTACCTAACGGGCTCATCCTACTGTAAGAGACAAGTACTATTTGATGTTGCGCACCACTGACAAGCACAAGGACCGGCGTGCCTCGCCTTCATTTTGTCTTTTGAGAACAGAAGCATAACTAATATATCTTTCTACCCCCCTTCCCCTTCCCTTTATCCAAGTGCAGTGCGCACGTCATTTCCTTTCTATCGGTGCAGAGAACTAATTTTCTGCTCGCCATATGTAAGCTAAATCAGTATTTTTTCTTTCATTTTCTCTCTGTCAATTAGAAGGTATAAAATTTGGTTCATATCAAAAATAACCTGAACAAAGCTGGCCTTACTTTTGGTAGAGGCCGGACGTAAATTCCTGAAAGAAACGTGTCCTCTAATATGACCGGCTCTAAGACCCCTCCCCGCAGCCCTCTCGTTCTTAGTATGCCACATCAAAGGTCAAATCTTCAGGAAGTTAACATTTTGAAGCTGCGGTTTCCTTAGCCGAGCGGGTAGCCTGGTGATGTGCCAGTGCGATCCTACGTCCTCTATACTCTGGTTTACCTTAAAGTGAGTCGCAGCAGACGCCTTCAGCCCTCCCGGATAATAGACCCTTTCAGAAATTCAGTGCCGTTTGCTGGCTGAAGTTTAACTTCGGCCGTACTAATGACGGAAAAGAATCCGTAGTCTGTAGTCTGTTATCCGGCATCGCCATTTTCGCAAGTAAAGAACGAACGAGTATGCATTCTTCGCTGTGCTGTCCGTTCTTGATCTCTTTCAGTTTCGACGGTGACAAAGATACATCTGGTCAGGACAAGCTCAAACCCGAACCAACGATTTAATAGACATCTATACATTCAGGGGGTTTAGAGTCGATTATAGGACGGACGCCAACAGATTGACTGGAGCAGAGTTTGAAGTGAAGGCTTTTGTATTCAATCTGTGCATTGTATTGTACTACCGTCTCAAAATTATATGCCTCAAATCATACTGTTATGACCCTCTTCAACTTCTTTGCCCGTAAGTGACCAAGAGGTCGCATTAGTATGCGGCAAAGACACCATTCTTCCGATTCTGATGGGGGTCAAAGTGTCCCAGACTGAATTTCGGAAAGGGTATTTTTAGTGCTGTGAAGGTGTCAGGTCTGCCCCGCGCGCTGCAGCACCCCTCCCGAATGTCACGTGTCATGGCACTGGATTGTCTTCAGTGACTCAAAACATCCTCTGTGGCCCCATCGTAAGATAAAACAGGGTATAGTTGTTTGAGAGTCGCAGCGCGTACCCGAGCCGAACTCAGCCCGTGCCGCCCTTCGCAGGTGATGAGTGCCAGTCGTCGGACGAGTGCGACGTGTCCAGGGGCCTGTGCTGCCAGCTGCAGAGGCGGCACCGCATGGCGCCACGCAAGCTCTGCTTCTACTTCGCCGACCCCAAGAGCTGCATCGGCACCGTGCCCCCCGCGGCCGCCGCCGCCATGAACGACTTCTATCGGCCCAGCTACAGGCCTTACAAGAGCATGAGTTTCTTCCACAACCCACTCTTCAAGGCCCGCATGGGCTAGCCGGGAACGTTGCCAAGCCGCATTGTCCCGTAGGATGAGCCAAAGCGGTGGTGGTGCCCGCTCTCTGCACCAGGGTTGACGTGGCCCACCACCCGCGGCGCCCCCTTTCCCACCCGTGATGTCATTGTCGTGATTTCATTCCACTTCGTAATATCTTTTGGTTGTCAGGGCCCGCGCGATGTTTCTGAAGTTGACCGCTGCGCTGGTTTCCAGCCTCCAGAGCAGCGGGGAGCACCAAATTTTCAAAGCGAGCGTTTGCAAAAGCTAGGTTCGACGAACGCACTTTCGTGTAATAAAAATGTTATGAATAGTTATAAATTAATTTATTTTGAGAGAGGCATTCTTGCAAATTAAGTCTGTCCGAACGAAAAAAAAGGATAGCGTACGTTGTCCTGGGTCTACTAATACCTACGAATGGTTTGAGGGCCTACAAATGCCTGTAGGGCCTTCAAAGTTAGTTGCTCCTAATGTTCTGCGTTGCTTGATCTTGGCGTAATTTTCAGCAATTGATGAGTCGAGCAGAAAAAGGAAGGCGTATGTTCCGAATTAAGACGATGATTCACGTTTCGACCTTCTACTTCTTAGGTTATCGCCCTCGGCTGGGCATCGAATTGCCAAACACTGATTGGAATAGCCCGAGACAAGCGTTGTACGGACAATCGCACAGTGAGTTCCACAAAGCAACTGATAATCAAAAGCGACGTGTCCACTTATCTCCGACCTGCGAAATACAATCTTCGTGCGTGAAGCACTGTAGCATGGATAGCGCAAGGGCAGTTCTTCTCGCGGGGCTGCCTCTGCCAGAAAAGACAATCTCCACTCTCGAACCACGTTCGGGTAATCAGACGCCCGGTGCCCACTGGCGCCTTTAGAGCCAGTGTTTATCACAATCCTGTCCTACCTGACTTAGCGCAGAGGATTATACGCCTGCACACAGAGAAGATATATATATATATATAAATATACATATATATTTGAAGGTATTTATATCTATCTACCATGTTGAACACCTTTTTTCCGAAGTTTATGGATGTATATCAACGTTCGCCGGCGCTGTAATGCGACTTTCGAATAAAAATGAAACTTTATCGGCGTTTCCATCCATGCATCTTTTCTTTAATTACACCATCGCAGTTGGCGACAGTGTTCATGAAAGCGGTAACGACAACATTTTATGCCTGTTTGTGTTTGTTCTTAGGTTTGCAAAAAAAAGAGCCGGGAAGTTGACTTGGATAAAGTCGACCTCGGTGCCTTCAACAGTGTTCTGCATGAGACCGCAAACAGCCAGATTCCCGAGGCAAAGCCACCTAGGAGGAAAGGTCACGACGTCATCGTTAGTGGATCCCTGACCCGCCCCAGGTGACAAACATGCTGAAGCTCGACGATAGTCGCCGCAAAGCACCGGAAGCGTCCGTCTTCACGACGGCCGACGCGCGCTAGGGGTCGCGCTCGCGGTGAGACGCTGGAAGACGCGCTGGCGCGGGAGCTAATCCATAACGACCAGTGAAACACGTCGGTCTCGATCCCGATCGCCCAGTGAAATAGGCTCGCTCCAGAAAAGTCGATCCCGGCGCATCCAAAACGACCAGTGGAATTCGCCATTAGACGCTGTTCTAGCAAGCCAGCCCAGAGCGAACTGTCACCTATACTCCATCTGCACAAGCATCAGCAGTGCAGACAAAGGCATGGACACGAATGCGTGGCTTTGCAAAGTGCCTCCTATGCACGAGTTCTCGTACATACAAAATCGTTTTGCCGAGCTAGGCTCACCCGCCTGTGCCTTTGTCTTTACTGCAGACATTTGTGAAGTGGAGCAGAGAGGCCGAGATTGAACTCTTTTATTTCACGCTTTAAATGTCATTTGCAATATTGTGACGTCGCGGTCTCTTGATTGGTGGACGCTGTGTCACAAATTTAGTTTACGCTCTAAGCGCGGAAGGAATATTCGGCGCTGGCGGCGGTCTTTGCTCCGCCTATTGGCCAAACTCTCCCAATACACAGCTCTGGATGAGCCATCCCTGTTGCGCCGTCTTTCCTGAACGGCATGTTGGTCCTGCTCCTCACGTGACTGGATTCGGCAAATAGCAACGCCGCCCGTTCGAGGCGTGCGGTGAGTTTAAAAGCCGGGGAACGTACGCCGGGGCGCGTGCAACGTCCACTTTCTCGCACGGCATTCGATCGTGCTCCTCACGTGATCGGATCTCGGCAAATACTGGCACGGCGTTATGCGGAAAACAGACGCGCAACTCTGTCTATACAAAGAAACTCTAGGTCGAGTCAAAGGGAATTAATGTGATGAGATCGTGCGACAAGATCGTGACAGAAGTGCCAGAATGACAGCAAAAGAAGAAATCAACGAAAGAAGCACGGAAAAAGAAGCTGCACGACCTATAAGAAGCAGAAAAAAAAACGTTTATATTTTTTAAACGTTGACATTGTTTGATGTCTTGCTGTGGTCTCAATCTCATTTAGCAAGTTAATGGGTTACGTGACACGAAAACACGCCGAAAGCCTTCAGAGAACTATATCAGCTGCTGTCACGATATACTTAATCGAGCGTGTGTTTTATTGAATGCGTTCGTGAATAGACACTAGGGTCTCCCAAAATTTATTTAACGCACCTTCCATTTTAACGACAAAATACTTCAACGTAAACACCCATAATAGTAAGTAAGGTTCCCTTCAGTCAGTATGCCTGCTAGTGCATCCTGAAAAATATTATCCAAAGCGTTTCCATTGCGGAGAATATTTTAAAAACCATGTTGCTGCGGGAAGGCAAGTGTGAGCTAGTTCGCTTGGAATGCAAAGCAAACATCAGAAACAATCAAAAGACGCGCCAAAAAAGTAATAAATTAAGAATTAAGAACGATATCTTCCGCTTTTAGCGTTACCAATACCAAAACAGAAAAAAAACTGCGCCGGCTACAACATTCCAGAAAGAAACATACAATGCTGTAAACATACAGACAAAATTCTGCAGAAGAAAACAAGAAAGCGTTCTCCAATCCTATCGAGCTTTCCAGCTTTCCAGGTAAGCGAGAAAACTTGAATATTTCAAGGAGACTTCCGGTTCTGTTTGATGATTTTCGTAAATTTTCTTAAAAATTTCACCATGCACTAAATACCCACCCTTATTATATTTGTCAAATAGTTTCTCGCAATATAAATTTCCTTGCGAGAAAATTTAATTTTGAAGTTTCAGATTACACCTCCGAATCACTGGTTGCCACTTTACTGGCAACAACGAACAGCGGATGCGCTGGGAAGATAACGTGGGAAAGGGACAATTTTTACTCGACAATTGACTACTGCTTAATATCCCACAAACTGTACAACAAATTAGGAGGCATGGAAATAGATGAAGGAGTAAAAAGTGTAGAAAGAGACGACAAGAAAAGTAAGATTAAATTTGTCGCATCAGAACCCGGACAACAAGCTCAGGGCTGGGATAGCAAAAAAAAGTCTAAATTAAACTCAGCTACAGGAAGTATTCAAAATGATTGAGAGCATAGAATGTAAGCAACCGGAAAAGGGAATGGACCTGTGGGGATCTAGCAGACATTTTTATACAGGAATGAGAAATATGTCGAATTAAAAAGGAAACCCTAAAAACTAGCAGAAACGAAAAAGCTGGTGGGATAAAGAGGTAAAGGCAGCCATAGCACGACGCCAAAATCACTTCGGGACCATAGGTGGGAAAAGAAAAGGGGGCCATTTCAGCAGAAGTAGAGTCAAAATAGGAGAACTTCCGGGAGAGGAAAAGGGGGCATTAGCTTTAATGCTGGCCAAAATTGTGAATGCATGTGTACAGTGCATGATGCGGGATAAACGAAAAAAAAAAAGACAGAAATGCGGCAAAAAGGTTTTGGGAGCACATTAAAGCGCACGGGAGACAGACAAAGAGGTGCCAGCACATACTGACCTGACCACACAGAAGAGGAGAAAGGTAAAGGGGAAAGAGGCGGGATAATACATGAGGTATACAAGGGAAGTGAATTTCTCACAGCTTGAGCAGGGTAGGGAGAGTAGAATAGTGTAACAATGGAGACGACCACGCGGGAATGGAACAAGGCTGAACGTAAGGTTCCAGCACGTACAGCGACAAGCCCAGATGTCATTCCCTTGGGACTCATACAGACCCTAAAACAAGCAAGTTAAAGTGGTATGTGATTAACAAAATAATTATTGGGTTATACGTACTCAACAACGGGAAACCAAGCAAAATTAAACTAATATATAAAGGCAAAGGAAACAAAGACAACATCAGGTCATACCGCCCGATAACCGTAACATTAATCTATGCAGATTAGATATACGAGTACTATTTATTTATTTATTTAGATCCCGTAAGGACTCCCTCCGGGGTATTACATAACATAAGAAGCGGGGGGGGGGGGGGGGGACAAATTTATCGAGAAAACGCGCATAAAAACAAGTCAAAGACAAAACATCAAAATAGATGAAAAATGCACAGAATATACTGACGCACAAATCTAGAATACGATATCGAATAAATATTTCTGCAATTTGGTTGCATCAGGAGTTGCGACAACGTTTGAGCTCCAATCAATGGCCATGCGTAAATATAAAGATATTTGAAACGTGACTGTTCTTGCTTTTGGACGTCCTAGGTCTAGGGTAAATCGAAATGGGCAGAATGAAAGCGAATTCTGAGTGAGTTTCAGAGTGGATTCCGAAGAAATAGAAAGCTAGAAGATAACCTATTCGTCATCACTCAATGTATAGAGAGCAATAAAAAGCCAAAGCCCCATATAGTTTCTCATTTGGACATCAAGGGGGCGTACAATAACGTGAACCAGAGAAAACTCTAGGATTAACTGAAGAAGTATGACTCAGATGCGAATTTGTTTAGGTTTCTTCAGCAGACAATCATGTAGTTATAACAACGGAAGCAGAAACTACACAACCAGCAGCAAAATGAAAAGGGCTCACCCCTGCTCTTTATAATATAACTATTTGAAATGAAGAAGAAATTAAAG